AAATGTACAGAGCCTCTTTGATAAACTCAACGAACTCAAAATAGTTGTGGCCGAACTATGTCCTGGTGTTATTGTATTGGCTGAAACATGGCCCACGCCAGATGCCAAAGACTCCCAAATACGATTAGATGGTTATTAAGTGCCAAAACGAAACCGAGCCAAAAGGAGAGGTGGTGGAGTTGCCCCGTATATCAGCGATGAAGTCGACTATAACCCTGTTAAATAATGTGCAAATAAGCGTGACCTGGAGATCCAGCAGTGCCATTTTTGGCCTCTAAAGCTGAAAATGTTACCGCCACCGTTGCGTGCCGACGAAGATCAAGCGTTAAGCACTCGCCTTCGCAAGGACAGTCCAAAGTAAAACATTATTATTGTAGGAGATTTCAATATTCCGCGGATTAAAAGGAGTCTTATTAAAAGTAAGGGCCACAGACCAGGATTCGACCAAACGCTATTAGGCATGGCACCTGATGAATTTTTGTTTCAACACGTATTAACAGTGATTCGGATGCTTGAAGGTCAGAGAGCTACTTACCTCGATCTACTATTTGCCAAGAGTAAGGAAAGTATTGATGAAATAAATGTAGGCCTGTCCCTAGGTCCTTGAGATCATATGACACAAATGCAGGAATCAGCACTTGTAGCTGTCCCCGAACGAAGCTCCAAGTCGTCAAGTAATGGCTGGCGGGGTAACTTTGAGGCATAACCTGTAGAAAATCTCTATTCAAACGGGGAGCCCAGAAAAAAATCCAAGAATTTAGACAACGACGCAACTTATGCGGAAGACTCCTCCGTGAAGTACGTGCGTCTTATGAACTGAGGCTCCTTGAAGAGGCACAGTGAAAACCTAGAGCATTCTATGCATATATCGTGAACAACACAAAACAGTAACCATCTCGGAACCTTAAAGGTAAAACTAACCAAATTGTGAGCGATGGCTTCCAAAAAGTCGAGCCTATTCCAGAATTGTCTCTACCACAGAACCACCCCTCCAGCCCTGTCCTCTACCCCAGTTTGTCAACAACCCATTCATAAACACAATGTTATTTACACCGCAGCTAGTTTTAGCAGAGTTAAATAAGTTGGATCCAGCCAAGTCAACTGAATTATGTGATTCCAGGTGTACTTCTACGTCAACTAGCTGAAGAATTAGCAAAACTACAACGTATAATCTTCCAAAAATCGCTCGAAGCCGGTTGACAAGTGTCGTGCCCATTCATAAGGGAGGATCACGGCTACATCCCGCCACCTACTGGCCAGTCAGTCTAACATGCACCTGCTGTAAGAAGATAGAAAGGATATTTAGAAAATCAATTACATCTCTCGATAAATTCTGCTGTCATATCAGCTCAGTTCAACATGGATTTTGTGAAAAGAGGTCCTGCCTCACAAACCTGCTTACGTCGCTCGAGCATTGGTCGAAGGTCATGGATGAAGGGCATCCAGTAGATGTCATGTACTTTGATTTCAGCAAGGCGTTTTATTGCATTTTACAAAAGCGCCTCATCCAGTTGTCAGACGCAGGGATAAGAGGAAATCTCCTGACCTTAATGTTATGGAGAACGTAAGCGGTGTTGAGCCACGGCCTAAGGCGCTGAGACACGCGTGGAGTTAGACGGCCGACCGGCGTGCACTGCAGCGCCGAGTGTAACGCCCCTGGACTTGAACAGAATTGTTTGAATGTGTGACACTTTTCCGCGCGAGGACCTTGGGTGGAGATGGCGTAACCGCGTGTCAGTGAAGATGGCCGGTGTCCCTTCCTCTCTCATCCGCCGATCCCTTCCCCTTTACCGTACCGTACCGCAACGCTCGCATCGCTCTCCGTCTCACAACATCGGCACCTCCCTCGGCCCTTCCCTGCAGTTGCCCACAGCGCTGCATTCCCCACCGGTTAATGAGCTGGCAAGTCGGTATCGCCTCCCCACCCAGACAGGTTATCTGATGGCTGTAACTCATTCCAACTGTACGAGTAACTATTATTATTATTATACGTATCTCCCATGACCGTCTTGTTATACTTTACTGTATTCCGTTCCTGACGTACCCTCTTCTGCTGCGTGCGAATGAGTATTCAGAGGTGCTAACGACTCTGTTCAGATTTGTCTCCTCCAGGATCTACTCTCGGCGTTCTCTTACTTCCGTGTGAGCTGCATTTGACGTCCTCGGCCGCTACACGAGCACATGTGGTGGCTTTGCTCACGCGCGCGGTCCAATCAATGGCTGGTCGAACATTCCGGACGTTTCCGCGGGGGACTATTTCGCACGCGGTGGCCAACGGCTGGCACTCCATTGGGCGGAACGTTTCAGAACGCACAGGGGACAATATAGAGTGAGTTACCTAACTCATGAAATGTTGGCTGAAATTCTGAAATGCGTTTTCGATTAGGAAGGATTACTTGGTCGCGGTTGTAATACTGACTGTCCTGCGGCATACTCTTATAACATTTCGGACTCGGCAGGATGTCGGCTTTTAAATGTACTTCTTTTTAATTTCCTGTAGAAAGCGTACTCGGTAAAAAATGACTACTTAAGTAGCATGCATATTTCCCATTGATTTTCGGTGGTCTTTCAAATTCAAATATATTTTATGGAAACCATAAATAAAAATATGCTTTCTTTTAGTCAATCAATAGAGAATCATGTCATCTTTATATTTTATACTTAAGGAAGGAGTATAATTAGGTTTTAAAAAAGTTTTTCAATTGCCGAATAATTTGGAGCCTGATCATTCGTTGCATTAGCGTTTAGTAATTACTGTCTGCAAGGTGCATGCGTTCCGCGTAAAGAAAATAACATATTTTTCTATGCTGTTAAAGAGATATCATACAGAGTCCATAAAATATTGCAATGGATGCGGACCATGTTGTTCATTTCATGCGAAGCAGTGGTAAACGGCCAGGTACGATGCTATGTGAATTGACATTTTGCGGTCTTAAAAAGTCTCATAATTAGAAACTTTTTTAAAACCTAATTCTACTCCTTCCTTAAGTATAAAATATAAAGAAGACATGATTCTCTATCGATTGACTAAAAGAAAGCATATTTTTGTTTGTGGTTTCTATAAAATATATTTGGATTTGCAAGACCATCGAAAATCAATGGGAAAAATGCATGCTACTTAAGTAGTCATTTTTTACCGAGTACGCTTTCTACAGGAAATTAAAAAGAAGTACATTTAAAAGCCGACATCCTGCCGAGTCCGAAATGTTATAAGAATATGCCGCAGGATAGTCAGTATTACAACCGCGACCAAGTAATCCTTCCTAATCGAAAACGCATTTCAGAATTTCAGCCAACATTTCATGAGATAGGTCACTCACTGTAAATAGCACACCTATCTGACGAGTTGGAACCCCTCGTGTCAGCAAGTTGCCACTAAAGTGCTTGTCCTCCGAACCAGCTCTCCCCCTTCCTTCCTTCCGGGCCATAACACTTAATTCAAGATTTCTTAAACGGTCGTAGGCAAATGTTGCCGCGGGTAACTACTGCTCAGAATGGGCGCCTGTTAAAATTGGAATCCCGCAAGGGTTATTTCTTGGGCCGCTGCTACTCATTATCTATTTAAATGATCTAGTACGCAAAATGAAATCGGACATAGAGCTCTTTGCAGATTATCTGAAATTGTGAAGGGAAATATAATATGAAAAATAAGTCAAAATACTACAAGAGGACGTAGGGAATCTGCACGCAAGGAACAAGGAATGGTGCGTGGAATTCAACATAGAAAATGTGTGGTAGTGCACACACTATCAGCTAGGCGAAGAATAAATGCACCCTTACGAGAGTATCGCCTGAAAGATCAACCACTTGAAACCTTAGATGTGAAAAAAGACTCTGGCATATTCATTAAAGACAACTTAAGCGTCACCACGCTGTGTTCTTAAGTCGCAGTGCGGTTAATGTCAATCATGCGCGCGATGCGAGAAACATTTATTAACTTGAATGCAGATGCCTTTGGCAAGGTATATGGAGCGTTTGTGCGTTTGCACTTGGAATATGCGGCGTAGGCTCTGCGCTCGTGGATTCGGACGGGTATAGGTATGAATAACGGAGGTAGTATGCATTCCGAGGCGATATAATAAAAGAAGAAGGCTCGTCGGAGAATCGAGGTATACTCGTGAATTTTCAAATCGATTACACTAACCCGTCGTCAGACGAAGTGAAACGTGTGAGGGAGATAACCGCACTGGGGAGCTGGGGGGATATCTTTGAAAGTGTAGAACGACGAGCTACAAAGACTCTCCATGAACTCAAAAATTTTACGTACGAGCAGCGCCTGGCTGCCTTGAACCTTTATCCCCTCCATCACCGGGAGGGGAGAGATGACCTCATAGCAACGTTTCAGTTGCTAAAAGGACTCTATCTGGATTTAACTGGGAAAGTCTTTTTGACATGGCACCAAAGACTAATCTCAGACGACACGATTGCCAACTTAAGACAGGAATGCGCCACACCAATCAGAGCGATTCTCTTTTCCCGCAGAGAGTCATTCTCAAGGAATTATTTACCGATGTATGTTGTAAACTTTTCTACCGTGAGTGTGCTCAAGAGACATCTGAATAATTGCCTGTTAAAAGGCAACCCGAACTACGCAAACGCCACTTAGCGGATTACTTAAATGGCTACCAAAATACTACTAACCTTATTTCAGCAGATCTTTTTGTGTACATTAACCTTGGCCCACAGGAAAATTTCACAGTGCGAATGTCTTTTTCGCCGTCATTTCGCTAATGTCACACCTTTTTGACATTTATGCTTAATCAATAGTTTTATGCATTCTGCGCACCAACACAACATGAAAAGAATTTTTCAATACTTTCCATGCGCACCCGTACCGTTTAAATGGAGCTTTAAGGGCTTCTGCCATTTACTCAAAATAGACTGCCCGATACCTACCGAACTACTATGACAGTCCTGCTGAACAGATGAGGATAAGGTATTTACAAGAGTTTTAATGACTCCGCAGTGACGTGTAGGGAATAGCGCGCCCAAAGGCACCCTCAGAATGTACTGAATACGACAAATACTACCTGGTATAAGAGAAGGAGGTTTTTGGGCCGTTTTTCCAGGGGTATGACGTTGTTAGCATTCTCGTCTCTGAGTTGTTGTTCCGCCTTCTCCCCGTCCTCCATCGCTGTGGGCAAGGCACCATCCCTGTGGGTCGCCGTTTCTTCGGGGGTGCTGTGAGATTCTGACTCAGGAGGGTTGAGCATCTTATCGATCAAGTTCATGTACCAGGTGGGTAGAGGCAGCTGTAGATAAACCGGCCTCTCAAAGGGCTTTAGGCCCAAATCCATCTCGTATATGGGAGAACATTCGTTGATATCGGTTAATTGAGGATCGAAGTTGTGTATTGAGGGCATCATGTCCGGACGGACGTCGATAACCTTAAACAGCATATGAGCCGAATATTTTGATACGCAGCCGCTATATCTAAAAAAGTAAGGTGCTCCCGCAAACGGTGGGTATTACAGTAGATGTGCTAACTCAATAAATATTAACCGAAATGCCGCAAGGCGTTTTCGGCTCGAAAATATCACTTGATTAGGGCTGTTATATTGGTCATCTTGCAGCATAGTCCCATAGCAATTCAGTTACTGCAGGATGCCGGCTTTCGAACGAACTCCTATCAGGCTGCATACAGAAACCGTACTCTGTAAAAATGACTACTTAATTAGCATGTATTCTTCTAATTTATCTTCGATATTCCTAAAAATTCAATTGTATTTCATGGAAAACATGCATATGGATATTCACTCTTTTGCTCATTTGGTAGAACGTTACGTTTTCCTTAGATTTAACGCTTGAAGGAAGGGTATAATTCGGTTTTTTAAATGTTTCTAATTATGAGATTTTTAAGATCGTGAAATTCCCGTTAATATAACTTCGTGTACCTGCATTTACTACTGCTGCTTGAAAAGTATACAGTATAGGTAGAATCCATTGCTAAATTTTACGAACCCCAAATGGTCTCCTTTTAATATCCTAAAGGAACGTATGGTTTCCCATACACGGAAAATATACAACCCGTAGTTTGGAAACCCCGAATGCAAATGCAACGTCAGGTCGGATTCAAAAGTATTCAGGAATTAGAAAAGTTTTTAAAAACCGAATTATACCCTTCCTTCAAGCGTTAAATCTAATGAAAACGTAACTTTCTACCAAATGAGCAAAAGAGTGAATATCCATACGCATGTTTTCCATTAAATATAATTGAATTTTTAAGAATATCGAAAATAAATTAGAAGAATGCATGCAAATTAAGTAGTCATTTTTACAGAGTACGGTTTTTGTATGCAGCCTGATAGGAATTCGTTCGAAAGCCGGCATCCTGCAGTAACTGAATTACTACTGGATTATGCTGTAAGATGACTAATATAACAGCCCTACTTAAGTAATCTTTTCGAGTCGAAAACGCCTTGCGGCATTTCGGTTAACATTTCATGAGGTAGCACATCTACTGTACTTAAGCACCAGTTGCGTGAGCGATTTTCGCTTGGCAACAAAGTCGTGGGATATGAGATATATACATGCATATGAGCAGTCAAAAGGTTAAAAAACAAAGAATCCCTAAGTTGTCGATTCATGTCACACGCCGCAACTAACCACTCCGGCGTGACTGACTAAACAGTTATCATGCTCTGTACGAGCACCGACGATGGAAGCCCAGAATCGGCGTCTTGAGCGTAGACTGTTAATCCACAGGCGTGCAGGAGAATAGAAAGCGTATCGTATAAATACTGCAGTCCCTGTACTTCACGACCTACTAATAGACGCAATCATTATAAGAAGATGTGTTCACTTACCGGAAAATGATCTTACCATCAAAGTTCTGTCAGTGCTGGTGTTTTTGTTTATTTATCTCAGCCTTTGTACCCGTCGCAGGTTAACTTTCTAAGCTGCTACCGAAGCTATCGAAAGCTCACTAAGTGCGTAATGGTAGCGCCTTCTTTTGGTTAGGCTTTGTCAAATTGGAAATTTTACTTATCAGACTTTTAGAAGGGATCAAGGCTGCACACGCTCATTTGCACGAAGGTGTCGGTTCAGAAGATTTGGGAGGGAACCACTGGTTCTAAATTTGGTTAGCTTACAGTAGATGACCTAACCCATGAAATGTCAAGATCGGTTTTTGAGTTGGTGGGACGGCATATATTTGGTGTGGTTATTTTTGTTTTTAGAATTGACTGGAATCCCAAAAAGCCCTTTCCTAAAGAAGAGGTCGTGTTAGTTTATTTTTATCGAGGTGAAACAGACAAAGATTAGACAAATTTTGACGTCTCCGTATATCCAAGTAATTTCCTATTCTGATAAGTATCCCCTATTTAAGCCTCTTATTTGCAAAAGTTGCGTTATAAAGGAATTATCATATAACTAAAAAATATCAAGGAAGCCCACTCTGGAAATGGAAATTGGGATTTTTTAATGAAACTTCGATCAAGACAAGTATGTGAAAAAGCATTATTCTCATGACTCAAAAAGCAATTTGCTCTTTACAAATTCTACTTGGCAAAACTGGGACGTTTTATATCGCTAAACACCGTAATAAGCTTGCTCGGCAGCATTTGTTTTACTACACGGGGAACTAGTAGGCGTAAACACGTATATATAGACCGCGAACTACATGCTACCACTTTCCTCTGCCATGCCTTGTAGCAAAGATGTCGGAACAGTTGCTATCGGAAGTTGACTTTGAGCGGATAGGAAAATTAGAAGCCACAGGACTGCGGCATGAGTCGTTAGCTAGTATTTTCAATATTAGCCAGGCCGCTCTCTGACCCAAAGAAAAGACTGTTTTTAGATGTCTAAGATGTCCACCTATGTTTGTGCCCTGAGTAGAACCAACACCGCTGACTTAGTAGCATATAGGTTAAGTAAGAGGGCCAGAACCAAAGAAACAAAGAATCATTCCTGGTCCATTTGTTTTCTCAAAAGCCTTCATCCGCAAATTAGATTATCAGATAGGGAAGAATAGGTCGCCGGAACCATTTTTTATTTGTCTGAGCTTTCGAACTCCTACGGTAATCCATCGTCGGAAATAAAACCGGCAAAAGAACAAAAAACAGATGGAGGAGGTATTGACCAATTAGACATCAGCGACGCCAGTCTGGGGGTGAATGCGCAGGGATCTGTATGCCGGTGTCAAATCGGTACATTGTTCAACTGAGTTCTCATCTGAGGTCCGGGCTTCAATCAATTCGTAGCCTATCTTACTTTCGCCATGGGCGATTGTATTCGTGTCTGACACGTTGTGTCGGTGTAGGCAGCCATTTGTGGTAATCTGTCGCCCTGCCGCACAAGCAGCCTAAGTTCTTGTATGCGCGATCCCAGCATGCGTTCAGTTCGACCTGTGTAATTACAAGGACAGATTAAGCACGGGATGTGATTCACTACACCCAAAAGCTGACTGGGATTTAAGACGTCCAAGATATTTACGACCTGCTGCGCATGTGTGCAATTCTCACACCTCGTCCCCCAACAATGCGCCCGGTCGTCCGTGATATATGGCGGAGCATACCATGCCACAAGTGCTGTCTCTGGACAGTTCCTCGGCGGACGAACACGTAGACCTCAACTTATAAACACATTCGGATGGTCGTTCTGCATAACCTGGCCGAGAGGATTTCGGGCCTCACATGCTGTTTCTTCCGGGCTGCTGCAGTGAGTCTGAATTCGTTTGAAGAGTGTTCTTTCACAGTTTCGTTTGCGAGTCACCGGATGGTTATTGTAGGAGTTCGAAGGCTCGGGCAACTAAAGAAATGGTTCCGGCCATCGAACAGCCTATTCTTCCTTACTCATAAATACACCTGGAATGCAGGCATTCGCCTCAATTAGGCTATGGATTTACTAAGAGTACTTAGATACCAGCAAGCATAGAGGAAAGCAGAGATTTTTCCGGTTTCTCCAGAAATGGTCTAACCGCTGCGATTTAGCTATCTTTTCGGACTTTATTTATTTTGGACTCAGTTTTGAAACAGCCGTGCTTTCTCTGGCACTTTTTTAATGATCTTTCAATTTTTTATAATTTTTCAGAACCGTGAGCCTGTTTTATCAACTACCTAACTTCGAATTTCAGTCTCGTTGGTAAATTTGTCCATACAAAAGGAACCGACGGGATGTCCGCTCACCTTAAAGGTGGAGGATCTCGTTTCAGTCGTACTGAGTTTAGGAATGCGGACACTAAGCAGTGGGTGGAGAAGAGGGGAACGCAACAGACCGCCCTCTCGATCGAACTCGACTGCCTCTGAGGGTGTGGCGATCACAATTGCAAAAAAGTCGTTAAACTCGTCCGCCTCGAAGCAGATTCCACCAGCCAGCATCTCTGTCCTTCGGGCAACTTCGACGGCCGGCAGGATCTCAGGTGCCGGTTCAGCCGGCGCCTTTGCAGCCGACTTTCGACTTTTGCCACCGGCAGCTTTATTGGCTGGGGAATTTGCAGCCTCTGTCGGCAGAGGAGCCTCAGGTTTTCGAGGCTCCTTGTATTCGCTGTAACGACCCGCCATGCGAGCTTCCTTCAACACCTGCGGTGGCCATTCCAGGTAGTGGATCAGGGGTTGAACAAACTGAAAAGAAAAATGTCCCCTCATAATGCCTTCAACAGGGTATTTCCTAACTTCAGATGAAGATATATTTAATAAAATAGTCATTAGTTCATCAAATGGATGACAATCGGTTAGTTCAGAGTTGCGATCTGGATCAAAATGCGTCCACAAACTGGTTTTTCCCAATCGACGGTGGCTGCTGTAAACGAGTGTTTATCTAGACAGTCAAGCTTGTTTATATCTGGCAACAAATAATTAGTTCAAATGGTTTTTAGAAGAAAAAATCGCCTGTGTGCATTCTCCTTCTTGCAAGTACGACCGTATTCGTTCATGAAACGGCCATACAAGCTTATCCAAAAGACAGAACAAGCAAACTAGACGAAACTGAAGAAATTATAAAAGTATGTCCAGCAGCACATACTAAAAAACGCGTTTTGACCTCCTACTGAACAGTCGACTAATTAAATAATATGTTGACTTTCTATTTCCCAGGCGAACATCCCTCATCTAAGCAGCAGCATTAGTTGGAGTGAAGTGGGCCTTGTAACGCACATCTGTCCGGTGAGATCCAAGAGTCTTCATAGCAGATTATTTCAGAACGTTTGTTTCGCCCTCTGTTAGCGTATCCCCTATTGGGCTCTCAACGGCAAGCTTTCTGGGATACCAGAAAATTCCAATCCCTGCAAAGTTCTGCCACAGATTTAGTCAGCGTCTACTGTGATCTCCTCAGAGGACACATCTGGCGAACGTGTCAAGGGTCTCTTTAGCGAAGCCTTAGTTTCCAGTGAGCGAGATCCCCTGTAGCCCCATTCCCACCTACAGATATTTCTGAGGAAAAGGTATTAAAATTTTGAGAATACAATTAGGGAAAAGTAAATATACTCGCAAGTAATATTAGAAAGATCGTGTGTAAATGCAGTGGGAAGAACGAGTGTGTCCTGAATTATGTACAGATCAGAAGAGTGGAGTAGACAATAAACAACTTTTCCGGTATGCCTACACAACTTTGATACCATGGACAAAAATCAACCATATTCTTGCCCTTATTAACACTAGACATATGGGAACGTGTCTATTCAAACACCGGTGATGGAGAAACTGGATTATTTACTCCTCCATCGGATTCACACGAAGTCGTGACAGCTCTTTGAAAAGTTATTGAGAACCTCTGTCAGTATTCTCCTTAAACTACCAACGTACTGTCTACGTTAAAAGTGTCTATATTTTACTTACTCTTGCATCGTAACGACAGAAAGTCGTTGGGAATTTGTTTAAATAATTGTGAAAACTTTTCTAACATTTCGACTGATTAAATTTTGGCACCATTTGACACAGTCACCAACTGTATGCATCCATCCTAAAGACCAGTGTAAAGGAATCTACGTACCACCACATTCTGCTTCAAAGTCCAGAACTCGTCACCAATTTTCGCCTGCAAAACGAACACCGTTCGCGTGTCCAGAATTGGTACATCCAAAGCAGTGTAGTCGGCCTTGTTCTTCTCGTGCTTCACAGATTTCTTCTGTTTTGGTTTTTCTGCGGCTTCCAAATGAAACCAAAAAAGCAGTTATGCAGTTACTGAAAGGTTTTGATGTAGTTGAAGGATGAAAATGCATTTTCATTGCATTTGAACGGGGACAGAGTTAAGACGCAAGTGGAATATCAGACTAAGTATAGAAAAACTAGAAATGAATGAAACAGTGACCGACTCTATGGCACGCCTCGAAATTTGGAAGACCAGTCAGCTCAGATTACAAAATTGGTTTGCGTTAGTCAATCATCGGGCAGTCCCTTAACCTTAACAGACTGCCTTTCCAACAAATCACTTCCCAGTTTCTCGTGTAAATGGTTCTTT